TTACAATTTTTTAATTGTAAAAAAAAAAAAAAAAAAAAATAGGACACATTTAATAAAAAGATATAATGTAGTATTTTAACGTTAATTCTACATTATATAAAAATAAAAATATAAAAAAATTGTCAATTAGAATAAGTTGAATTAAAAAATAACATAAAAATATATTAAAAAACAAGTCATTTAAAAATTAATGTATATTTATGCTAGATAAAATTATTTGAATGAAAATAATAATTAAATAAAAATATATATATTTTTTTCAAATAAAGAATATATACAACAGATGTAACTTTATCTTTAAAAAAGTTGAATGATGAAAATATCATATGCATATTTATAAGCTATTTTCATTCTAATTTATAAAATATATTTTATACTTCAATGTATAAGCTTAAAAAAAAAATAAAAAATTTTTAAATTTTATTATTTTAATCAGTATTCCTTCTAATTAATGTAGCATGCAAATACAAATGATCTGAAGAACAATATTTCTATAAAAAAAAAAAATAAAAAAAAAATAATAATAAAAATAATATATGATAAAATATTATAAAATTAAAAATTATGTATTCTTAATATTTATACTTCATTTGGCAAACATCCATATTTAGCAAGTTTATCAAAAGGAGGTAAGTTAGTACATGATATATTCTAAAATAAGTAAAATTAAAGAAACAAATCATAATAACTTTTGTTATGATAATAATACATTTAATTTTATGAATTGTAAAAGTATATAAAATAAGGAAATAATATTTTTTAATATTATTTAAAAATCATTCTTTTTTTTTTTTTTTTTTAATTACCTTAAGAGTTTTATATGAATAAAATATATAATCAACACATCCTTTTTGTTTTCCATGAAAAACAGTAAATGGAATATCATTTAGAATTAAGTTATTTTCTTTATTATTTAATTTATCAATACTATCATATTTATAACAAGATTTTTCTACCCTATTTTCTATACATTTATTATATATGCTTTTTAAATATAAAGGATAATATAAAATAAAATCATCCTCTTTTTCATTTCTTATTATTTCTTTTTCTTTATCAATATTTCTGTTTTTTTTTTTTTCATGATTAGATTTTTCTTTTGTTTGTACGAAATAGTTTTCTTCATCATCTTTTTCATTTTTATTATTATCTTTCTCTTCATTTTTGTTAAGAAAAATTTGATTATCTTTGTAATAATGCTTATTGTCTTCTTTTCTAAAATATAAGTTTTTCTCTTTGTTATCATGTACATTCTTATCTTTATTTTTTAATGTATCGTAATACTCAAAAAAATTAAAATCATTTAAATAATTATTTTTTTTTGCAAATATTTTAATTAAATATTCTTCATTTAATATATTTTTATCTTTAAAAAAAAAAAATAATGATTCTTTTTTCATATTTTCCAATGAATTGCTACATTGCTCATATTTTAAATCTTCCACTATACTTTTATCAAACATTGTTCTAATTTGAATTCCTTTTAAATAATTATTGAAATAATATTGTTTTTTAAACATTAAATACTGACCTGATAAAAATTTTAAATTTATATTTTTTAAATTTAGATATCTGTTAATTATAAAATAATACAATAAACTATTAGGTGTTATATTGAAATCACCACAAAATATAATACAAGGTTTTAGAATATTAGTATTTCTATTTTGTTCTTTATCTTTTATTTCTAAATAATTGATGCATTTATTCATCATAAGAATTAATCGATAAGTCATATAACACAATTGATATAATTTAATATCTCCTTTGTACGAATCGAAAATTAAATGAGTATTAGAAACAATAACAATATCATTTATATTAGATATGTTATCATTCGAATTATTTTTACCATCTTTAATTTTACTTTTATTATTTGTCTCATCATAATATTCTATTTTTTTTGATTTTATATTTTTTAAGGCCACTATTAAACCTACATGCCATTTCTTTAAAAGAGGAGATTTATCATATATAATTTCATCAAAAAATAATAATTCAAAAACTTTTGTATTATAAAAAATGCAAATTCCATCTTTAGAAGATTCTTTTTTTTTTTTTAAAAATAATCCTTTGTAATTTAAGTTTCTTAATTTACTCTGTAATTCAATGAAATAAGAATTTTCCACCTCTTGCAAACATATTATATCTGATAATTTATTTATAATATTTTGAAAAATCCATTCTTTTCTATTCATCCAATTCATAACTTTAGAACAATTGTTATCATATTTATAATCAACTAAACTATTTGCTAAAATGTTAAATGAAAAAACAGAAAATTCTTCAAATAAGTATTTTTTTTTTTTTTCCTTGCATTTTAATAATATTTTATTTTCTTCTATTCCGAAGTTTTCATTTTTTGAAATTTCTTCATCATTATTCTTCCATATTCTTTCTGATAATTTTATTTCAGCACTATTATTTGTGCTTAAATCCATGATGCTTTCTACATTTATATCAGTGGTGCAATTTATAGAACTACTACTAATAATATTATTTTCTTTATTATTTGTAAAATTGTTATTTATATTCTTTTTCTTATTATTTATTAAATCTTTAACAGCATAATTATTATTAATACAATTATTATTTAAATTAACTTTTCCCTTATTTTTATTTTTTATATTTTTTAAGTTTTTATTTATTTTTGTTTTTCTTATTATATAATTAACATGTGAATTATTTTCTATATCTTTTTCACTATAATTACAATAACTTAATTTTAATCCATAATTCGTAAATATATTAGTATCATTTTTTCTTATATAAAAAGAATTTCTTACACATGTAAACTCAAAAACTTGATATTCATTTTTTTTTATTTTATTAACTATATATCTTTTTTTAAAAAATAGAGGAATTATATTATTTTTAATACAAAACATTAACTTTTTTTCTGTGAAAATTTGTATATCCTTAAAAAATTTTAAATTTATGAAAAATCATTTATAGAATAAAGTTTAAAAATAAAAATACAATGCAATTTAATTTTTTTTTTTTTATATATAAAAAAATTTTTAATATATAAATGTGTATATTTCTAAATTTATTCAAACACTTTACAATTTGGTAATTTTTATTTCACAATTTTATTAATACTACTAAAAAAAAAAAAAAAAAAAAAAAAATTAAAAATTTTATATGCTCATTAAAAAAAGAAAGAATAAATAATAAAATATAAAAAAAAATTTTAATTAAGAATTATAATTCCATTTCTTCTTTATACATTCGTCAAATAAAAATTATTATTACAATAAAATGTAATAATTTTAAACATGAGAAATACATTAATATGTTTAAAAATATTAAATAGAACAGTATTTCTTTTCCTTTTATCTATTTTCATTTATGATAAAATGTTATAAATTAATGTATTTTTTTCTTTTTCTTTTTCTTTTTTTTTTTTTTTAATTATTTATCCTATAAAAAATAATATTTCATATCATATTATTCATATATGTAATGTATTTATATATGAATTTAATATAAAAAATTATTCTTCGTATTACATTATTATTTTTACATAAATATTTATTAATTAATAGTAACAAAATATTATTTGTTCTATTTTATATTAGGTATTATCCTTTCTATTATTATATTTATATATATATATTTTTTGTATTTCTTTTTTTTTTTTTTTTTTTCTGCTTCTAACCTATTTTATCTTAAAGTTTTTTTTTTTTTTGATTTTAAATTAAAATATATATAACATTTTTTAGTACATTCATATGTAGCTTTAGAAGTATGAGTTTGTATTTTTAAAATATTAACCTATTTTTTATTAAATACAAATATTGTAATTTCATACCTTTTTAATTGAATTTTTATTATTTTTAAAATTCATTTCAATAAACACTTTTAGATAATACATATGTGATTTAATATTATCTTTGAAGTGAATCTAGATAAAATTTATATAACTACATTATTTTGATTTATTTAGCAATGGAGGGTTAGTAATTATTCGTAAAGAAAAAATATATGCATAATAATAATTAGAATAAAACATAAATATGTTACAATGAAATGTTAAAATATAATAGAATGAAATAATAAATTGTAAATATAAATATATGCTATATATATATATATATATAATTTTCCATAATTTCTCATAAAATCAATTTTTTTTTTTTTTTTTTAAAGTAGATAATGAATATGATACAAGAGGAATTTTAATTGGTCATAACAAAGGAGTAAGGAGTTTATGTGTGATAAATAATGATCTGTTGGATGGATTAAAAGGTTATGATTTAAAATTTGAATATATAGTTAGTGCTGATTGTAATGGAACAATTATTGTATGGAAAAAAAGAAAATACGAAAACATGAATAAGAAAGAAGAAAATAACTCGAGTAATATAAGAGATATTGGTGAATATTCAAATGATGAAAAAAATGAAACTGTAAATAATAATGATAATTTACTTAATGATAATTTATTAAATGATAATTTATTAAATGATAATTATATTTTACATAAAAAAATAGAAATTCATGAAAAATTTATATATTCATTGTGTTATAGTAAATATATAGGAATAAATGAATTAAAAAATTGCAAAGAAAATATAGAAAATCATTTATATATTTTTAGTGGGGGAAATGATAGAAATATTTATCTATTTAATTTAAACGGTTTTATTGAATTAGTACTACAAGGACATAAGAATAGCATATGTAGTATAGTTGAAAAAAATGAAAATATTTTGTTAAGTGGAGATTGGAATGGTGAAGTATTTATTTGGAAGATTGAAAAGAATGAAGAAGAAAAAAATAACAATTTAAGTAATAACATAAATGACTTAAATAGAATTAGTGGAAACAGATACTCCTACAATATACTAAAAATATTAAATAATCATAAACATGCTGTATATGTAAATTGCTTAAATGATATAATACTAACTATTTCTCAAAATAATATAGTGAATATATGGAACAACAATGGAGAAAAGACAGACGAAATTAGAAATATACATAATGATAGTGTTCGTGATATCATATTATTTAATGAAAACAAAAATGTTATTACATTTTCTAATGATGAAAATATTCATATTTATGATATTAACTTTAATTTACTAAAAATTTATAAAGGGCATAAAGGCTTTATTTTCTATGTTTGTATAAATGAAAAAGATAAAATAATGATTAGCTGTGGTGATGATAAAGTTATTAAAATATGGTGTATTAAGGATATTTATGAATTAATGAATACATATAATATAACTGATATAAAAAAAAATAATTTAATAAACGAGAATTTTAATTGTATTCAAACTATTTATTTAACAGATACATTGTGGAATATTAAACTATTAAGTAACAATGATTTTGTGTGTGCTTGTAATGATAATACTGTTAGAATATATACCAATAAAAAAGATAAGAAATTAAAAAAAGAAATAATGGAAGAATTTGAAAAACAGTATAGAAAAAAAAATGATATAAATGATGAAAATGTAAATAAAATAGAAAATATAAATAATATAAAAGGGAAAGAAGGAGAAATAAAAATTTTCAAAAATATGGAAAAATATGAAGCTTATAAATATGAAAATGGTAATTGGGTTCTTATTGGTGATGTAGTTGATGATATTAAATTGGAAAAAAAGTTTTATATTGGAGATAATTTATTCAAACAAGGTTATTATGATGAATTGTTTTCGATAGATACAGGATATGGTAGTATAAAACAGCTACCTTATAATAAAAATGATAATATTTTTTTAATAGCAGAAAAATTCTGTAAAAGAGAAGGTATTTCTGTTAGTCATGTAAAATCAATTGTGGATTTCATTAACCAAAACACTTCAGTTAAAAATAATAAGGAAAATTATGAAATGCAAAATGAAAATAAAAAAAAGAATTTTAAAACTATTTTAAATGTTTTTACTGTACAGAAATCATCATTAGATAAAATTCTACAAAAAATTAAGGAATTTAATTTACTTCTTTCTATTGACGATAAATATAAGTTAAATAATGAAGAAATCAATTCATTAACCAACATTATAAATATATATATAAAAGATATCAAAAATATGTATAAGTTTAATACTGCAGATATAAATTTAATTAACAAACTTTTTGCATGGTCACCTTTTTATATATTTCCAGTAATAGATTTATTTAGAGTATTAATATTAAATAAAAATTGTGATTTTTTTTATAATAATAAATACTCTTTTAATGCTTTTAAATTAGTTTATGATTGTATATCTTTTTATATTAAAAACTCAGAAAATTTAAAAGAAAATGAACAGAGTAAATTAGATTCTTTGTTATTATGTTGTTTGCGTTTTTATCTAAATATGTTTAATTTATCAACCCCAAGATACTATATGTTTAAAAAATATAATTTTATTTTAAAACAATTTTCAGAAATTAAATCAAACAGTGGTAACATAAATATCTTATTTATAAAAATATTTTTTAATTATGTTATAGTATTAAACGAAAATAATGATAATGAATTAAGAAAAATATTATTTGAAATTATTCATTCTCTTAATAATCAAATAAATGAAATAGAATTTTTATATATATATTCTTTATGTTTTCACACTTCTTATGATTCTTATATTAAACAAACTGAAGAAATTATCAAAAAATATGACACAATTAATTTTATTAAAAATAAATTAAATTCTTTAATTTCTCAAAGAAATGAACAAAATGAGAAATTCTTCAAAAATGTTAAATTAATTTTAGAAGATCTTAATTTAAAAAAATAAAAAATTTTACTTTCTACAATATATGCATAATAGTAATTTTCTTTATTTTTAAAAATATATATTTAAAACTATTCAAACTTTTTTTTTTTTTTTTTTTTCAAATGATAAATAATTTTTTTTTATTTTTATTTATTTATTTGTTTATCATTTTTATTTTTTATAT